CAAAAGAGGCTTGTGAAAAGTGGCTGTCCGAATTCTTCGCAAATAAGGAGGGGGCTTCTACGTGGAAGGTATTATGAAGTTGCCGTCTAGATGGAAACAGATCATCGAACAAAACGGCGCATATTTATTTAACCAAATCCGATCACTGTAACACTTTTTATAAAGCATTGAATGAAGAGAAAAAAGCGGAAGGGAGATATTTGACAACCTTATATATATATTTTTTTGGTTAATACTTTATTTAAATTTTGTGCATTTAGTTTTTGTTTTCTTAATTAAATAATTTGTTCTAATTCTTTATTTTATTATATTTTTATATTACATATTTTATTTAGTTCTGACTTTTATTTATACACTTTGTTTAATAATTTTTCATTATATAAATACTTGAATTTTTCATTACTTATTACATTTCAAATTTTCATTTAATATTTTTTATTAATTTTAATTTATTTATACTTATAAATACTTTATATACTTTTCCCCATTTTCTTATTTTGATTTATTTTCTTTATTTAATTTTTAATATTCTTTTTGTTTTGCTATGTTTTTCTCACTAAACATTTAATTTAAATTTTTTATTATGTATTTAATATTAGTTTATTTTTTAATTGATCGTATTTTTTTATTCTATTGATTTATTTTTAAATAATTTCCCTTATTAAATATTGTAATCAATTGAATTTATTGTAAATTATTTTGCTGTAATTTTTTCATTAAATATTTTGTTTTAATTCCAGTTTTTTTTTAAAGATTTTTTTTTCATTTGTAGTTTTTTTTTTTATTTTATTATTATTTTTATTTCCATTATTTTACATTACATTTTTTATTTTAACTTGCTCATTTATTTTGTTATTTATTTTCCTTATTAAATATTTTATATAATTTAATTTCATATATATTTTTGTCAAAACCGTTTTACAATTTTTTATGTATAATATTTTTCTTTTGTTTATTATATATTTTAATCTCATTTTTTATATTATTTAATTTCGTATTTAATTCAATTAAGATTTTATATTACATATTTTTTGATATTTATTTTGTTTTTTTTTTGTGATATGATATGTTTTTAATGTTTGTGTGTTTGATTTGATATGTTTTTAATAAACGTTTAATTTACATTTATTATTTTATTGTTATTTTTATTTTTATAAATGCTAATTTTCAATGCAATGTAGATAACTTTATTACTATTTTTTGTTTTTTGGCTTTTTCGTTGAAATATAATTTTTTTATGTACGTTTGATTTACTTTTAAAAATGTAAATAAATAATTTAAATATAATATTGAGTTATTTTTTAAATCTAAATTCCACTTTTTCTCGTCAGCATACTCTTATGCACAATATGTATGTTTTTGTTGTATTTCTTTTTCATGTTTTTCCTGTTTCTTTTTGGCTTCTCTTGTTTTCTTATTACTCAAATTTGTAGCGACGCGCTTGCGAAATTTTTATAAATAAATTTTTGTATGAAAATTTTTCACAATTTTCGAAAAATATAAAAATTTTCCGCACAAAATAAACGACAAAGTGGCTAAGCTTATTAGTAGATACATGTACATATGTGTATGTGTATTCGAATTTAAATATGTAATAATATGCGGGTGTTGGCATCGACGAGTGCGATCCGTTGTGTCCGTTTCGTTCCTTCCACAGACAGCGGCGCACATTGGCGTTTCGCAGACGCTTCGTCTATAAAGCAATATTTTTACAATTGCCTTACGTAGTTGTTGTTGCTTTTTTTCAATTTAGCAACACGCTGTAAATTGTGATTTTGTTTTGACTTAAACATATTGAAGAATTTATCACTACATGTGGGATGTGATAATTATTTCTTCCTCACCTAAAATCATTTTCGACATTTTTTTCCCCCATTATTTTTCTAGGAAAAAAATAATGCTAAGAATTCTTCATATTTTTCCAAACATTTTCAAATACACTTTCGTGTCTCTCTTTATTTTATTTTTATTATTTATTAATTTTATTTTGTATATATTTTTTTTAATTCCTCGCTTTACATAGCGGCGAAATGTACAGAAAAGTGGAAAAAGTAGAATTCTCGAAGAATTACTCTATACAGCTGATTTTGCCTTTCATTACGTTTTCGTAATAAAATGTTCAAGCGAAATGTGCAAAATTTTCACACGCTCTGCATTTCAAATTTGCTAGCTAATAGCACGCTAATGTTTAAACATAACGAAAAACATGACGAGTGCAAAATGATGAAAAAAAATGAAAAAAAAAATGAAAAAAAAAAATTTAAAAGAATTAAAAGTTTAAATTTAAAATTACAAAGAAAATAAAAATAGAATAGTAAAATAGAAATAAAAAAATTAAAATCGAAATGAAAATACAGCAACAAAAGCAATGAATGAGGAGAGTGCAAACAAAAAAATAGTAAAACCCAAGCAAAAAAATGAAAAAACAATAATCAACGGGAAAACTAGCACCAAACCAAAGAAAAAAATAATAATAAAAATAAAGCGAAAATAAAAAATAAAGAAATCAAATTGAAAAATCAGTGAAAAACTAGAAGTAAAGGAAGTAAAAAAAAGAAAAACTTTGAATTAACGAAAAAACTAAAAATCAACGAAAAAATTAAAAAACCGTTTACTTCTTTTTATATACCTATATATGTATGTATGTATGCATATGTATCTCCCCTTTTGCCGCTTTTCATGAAAACTGTGAACTCAAACACAATCATTTTTCTTGAGAACAAAAACGTATATGCTTAATGATCTAGAATTTCCGGTTCTTTTTTGTTGATTTTTGCCTTTGCAAAAATGTTTGAATTTACATTGAATGGGCGGAGAGAAGTGAGTGTTGGGGCATGGTTTGTTTAAATTTTTATTTTTCATTTTTTTTTATTTTAGTTTTCCTCGGTTCAGTTTAGTTCAATTAGCAGAACATATGTACATACATTTGCACTTAGACGTTTATCCATCTAACCAAGACTGAGCACAAATCTTTCATGTTTAATTAAAAAGAAAAAACACTCTGTCGGCTATTGTAGCTCAAACAGTTGAAGGAGGCACTTTATGAGCTTCAGTGTTTTCGAACTCAGCTTTGAGATTATTGAATATTAGGCTCAGTATGCTCTCGCAATAGCAATAGCGGAATGGAGTGGTTATCTGGTCAGCACAAAGGTTTGAGTCCTGGTCCCGCCACCATCCAAAATTTTAGAAAATTATTTTTTTTTTTAATTGTGGTCAACCTTCGATGGGGTTGTCAAAGACTCCTCTTGAAAAATAAACCATCAGTCGTTCGATTTCTATTTTCACAATCGAACACACAAATTTTTCGAAATCCAAATTGTGGAACACCAATTATCGAAAATTTCGATAAAGTTATGGAAATCGCCGAGTCATACAGTTTTGCGAGATCTGTTTCGATTGACCAGGAGCTAAACATTGCACAAAAAAAAAACAGTTTAGAGCCACTCGAAAAAGGCTAACTTACCGCTATCGAGATTCCGCAAAATTTCTGATCAAAAGTCAACAAAGAAAGAAAGAAAATAACGGCAACTCATAACAGGTCAAAAAAGTGGAGAAGCTAAGTGAAATTTTTAACGAAAGCTCGGCCTACGACCGGCCTCGACATAGACCGCATCGCCATCATCGAATCACTGGTAAATCGTAAATAAAAAACACCAACTCAGTGCTAAAGCGGATGGAGACTGGTCATTAAAACGACATCATTTGCAGTAACGTTAAATGCAAGCAGTTGTGGTCGAAGGTTTGTGGTGAGCCGGCACAAAGGGTGTACCAAGCCAGCATTGATGGTGAGGAAAGGTTTGTTTTGTGTTTGGTTGGGATCGCGAAGGAGTCATTTACTATAAGCTGAGCTCCTATGGGCAATATTTATATTTTGGACCTGTATTGTCAGCCATTGGAGCATCTGCAGGAAGCAATCGCCTTGGCTTTAGCCAACAGGTGGGAAGTTATGTTGCATCAGGACAACGCTAGACGCCACACATATCGATAGTGACTCGCCAGAAATGCTGAGAGCTTGTTTCGGAGGTTTCCGCGCCAAGTGATTTTACCATATGTATATTCCTGTCTATGGCGTATGGTTTGGCTGGTAATTGGCCGAGACCGAATACTTATCGCGAGTCTCTCAAGCATCGCAAAAATTCTTCTTCTGCCCTTGCAGCTGCCCTTTCGGATGTTTTTATTTAACCAGTTGGCGCTCGCACAGCTAGAAGAAGACTTCTGGAAGCAGGTTTAAAAAGATGCAAAACCCGAAAGAAGCCGTGGCTCTCAGAAAAGGTTAGGAAGAATCGTTTAGAATGGGCTCGCCGATACCAACTTTTCACGGAAGAAGATTGATCGGGTGTTCTGTGGTCTGATGAATCAAACTTCAAGGTAAGCTTAGTTAAGATCGTCTTAAAGTCTTAACAGCCATAGCTTCTTACCCTAGAGCAAATTTGAAGACAATGAATACAAATCTTATGAAAACATTAATTTTTCTTTTCTACAGATATTTGGTACACCTGGTGTGACGTTCGTGAGGCGACGGGTTGGGGAAGAATATCATCCAGAATGCGTGGTACCCACTGTTAAGCATGGAGGAGACAGCATTATGATTAAGGAACACAGTATAACAGCAAACACTGCCTTAAAGAATGCGCTGTAAGTGCGGACGAATGTGCAAAGCTTGTACGCAGCATGCCTAAGAGTATTGCTGGCGTTACTAAATCGAAGAATGGACCTACTAAATATTAATTATTCATTGTGTTTTCACTGTTTTACTAATAAAACTTCATTACTTCACTTATTAAAACAAAAAATTCAGTAATTAGTTGGATGCCTAATACTTTTGGCCAAGGCTGTACATATATAAAAATATTTGCAAAAATAAATAAATGAAATAAATTTATATATAAATATTATATATGTATATATTTTTTTAATAATTTTAAGCCAAACTATATTGATTTTGAAAACAAAATTTGAAAAAAAAAACAACACAAACAAAATCATAAAAAACTACTCACCAAACGCTGTTCGATAGTTCCTTTTTTTTGGTTTTTTTTTTTAAATAAATAATTTTAATTGTTCTTTTTCGCACAATTAGTTATTTGTTATTTCTGCGACCGCACTTGTTTTTGTTTCCATACAAGTTTGTATATACGTATACTATATGTATATGTATGTATGTTTATATTTTTACAAAACACTATTAACGGCAAAGTTCCGTTAGAACAAGTCACGTAAGCTAGTACTTGAAAGTAAATATTTATAATTTTCAATATTTTTCTGGATAAACTTCCACGCGCCCGAAGAGACTTTAAAACAATTTTTTTTTTTCAAAATTCTTTTCTTCAATTTTAATTATTTTTTTCTTTTTTATTACTGTTGCACTTCAATTAAATCAATACACTTAATATATTATATATATTATAATAACACACAATTTTTATAATTTTTAATGCAGTTTTTGTTTTTTTTTGTTTTTGCCAAGAATTTTTCACTTCTCGTTTGATTATTATTATTATTTTTTTTTTTTGGAAATAAAACTTCTACTTTCAAAACGAATTTCTTTTTCCAAATAATATTTAGAATATAATTTCCATTTGATTCTTTTGTCGTTAGCCGCTGTTGTGTACCGTTTGCTTCCAAGGCTTGTACATAACTGAATCCGCCAGATACGTGAAGGCGTATAATAAGTAAACACAGCAGCCAAACAAACTGCAGACACACATATCCATTCGGCTAGCCGCCAACCAGCCAGCGAGTTTCGATCGTATTATGCGCTAATGCTGAAGATTGGCAGGCAACAGTCGGTTGCTTGGTTTGGTTGTTTAGTTGGTCAGTTGGTGAGACAGTTTGAATGTGAACCGGCATCATGATACTCATACGCCCCGCAAACCGCTGAGAGGTCCAACTGTTGTGGTTTGGGTACTGGTAGACTATTGGGTATAAAATTAGCAGCGAAAATGTAAAATTTTTCGCAAACTCGACCTAGACAGCCAAACCTAGTCTTCACATGTACTCCCTACAACGGTAAAAAATGCCGATTTCATGCCAGTATTACCGAATGTTACCAGATTTTGTACGCCATAAGCAGTTACTGCCTGTGCTTTCCTATTTTTTCATGAGAAGCAATTAACTTCGATATTTCGTATTAAGCACTCTACTGTTCGTTATAAGCTTCATTTAAACTGTAATCGGTACCAATACCCAGTACCTTGATAACTTGATATCACAACAGCGTGTTTTCAAATTTCTAGATACTGTTCACACAGGCACTTAATTAGCTAATTGAGACCATTTTAGTAATTTACAGCATAATTGTAACAAAATTAGTTGGATTGAAAACGCAAATATTGACTGAATATTAATGAAGCTGACGTTTTGAACAGTATTTAGTATAGTTGAAGCCAAACGTAAGAGCACTAAAAGTACTTGACGTAATTAAAATTACAAGTTAGCCACCCAAATAAGGATTTTCTAATCAAAAATACAAAAGATATTGAAAAAACAGTATAAATTTCACTAAATTGCTTTCACAAAGGCCCTAAGTTAACGTTTTCTTTTTAAATTTAACGTTTTCTTCTTAAATTTAACGTTTTCTTCATCTTTCTCTTTTCTAAAAAAACCGATCTGTTATCAAAATTTAATTTTATTTAACTGAAAACTGCATTTTCATGCAGCAAGAATTTCGCAAGCAAAATAAAAGCAGTGACAGCTGTCAAAAATTAATTATTTCAACATAATTGAGTGTGTGTGAACACAATTTAATGCTTAATTGTGTAAATTAATCGAAAACATCAACAAAGCATTGTTTTAACTTCAATGCGTAAATTGAATGTGACAATTTTGTGCTTGACTCTTTAACGCTTATTCAATTGTCTGAACACGCTCTAACGCTTCAAATAATTCCAAAACGCTCCAGCTGCGTCTTCTTCTGGAGGGAAAATTTGCACAAAATTTAAATTAAAATATTTTTTTTCATGTTGCATTTGTTATTCACGCTAGTGTATTTTTTTTTATACATATATGTACCTCACGCCTGCGTCTGCAAGCTTCATCGTCGTTGTCTTCGCCGCCACGAGTTTGCTTTGCCGATTTTATTTGTGTTTTGTTGCCGCTTCCACGCTGCTACTTACCGCTATTGAGCTTTGTGGTTTTCCATTTTTTCTTTTTATTTCTCTTATTTTGTTTCTTTTCTTCTATTTTTTCACATGTTTAGTGTTGCACTTACTTATACATATGTATGTACATACATTTGTTTTTATAGCTCTTTAGCTACTTCTGCTTCTTCTTCGTTGTTGTCCAAAGTTTTCGTTTGTTGCTGCCGCCGTCGCGTGCGAAATGCCATCAGCTGTGTAAGTCAAGTGCTGCCAACTCATTGCAATTTGAGTTTGACAATTGTTTCACAGCTGTTATATACGTACAAATGTATGTATGTACATCGTATATGTATTTCTTATTTTTGATTTTTTTACGTTTGTAGTGAGCCGTTTGCGTAGCTGGAAAGTGGCATTTACCACAAATATTTACGTCAAACTCAAGTGCAGTTATTTATTTTACAAGTAGCCACTCGTGTGCTGTCGCTCCTGTTGTGTCTTTACTACATACCGTTATGCTAATTGTACGCTTCGCAGTTGTGTTGCTGCACTTGATGTGCGTTTGGTTCGTGGGCAGCGCTACCACTTGCTGTGACATCCACTGGGGCTCGCTGTGCGGCATGTAAATGGGTTTGCTAATTGTCTACCGTCGCTTTGATTGTTGTTATTATTATTGTTATTTTTGTTTGTTTAATTTTAATGGTTCTGTAATGTTGACCAAGGTCTAGGACTAAGCTCACTAAGCTCTAAGTGTGTTTAAAGAGATACGTTCTTGTTGTAAGTGGACTAGAATGGAGGCCGAGAAGAGAGTTCTGCTAAAAAATTCTTATTGTTTAGTTTATTTGAAGAAATTTTCAAAGACAACACTCATACATTACTTCGCTCTGCGTATCTCACACGGTAACTACAAAGCGACTCGCAATCAATTGAGGTAAGCGCTGTGGTCAAACGAAGTTCGAGGAAGGGAAAAAACGTGATTCCTTTCCGTTTAAGTGTCATGAAGGCAATGGAAGGACAAGTGGTGACGTAGCATGACCTTGAGAATGTCACGGTGACTGCTCCGAACACTTTCAGATGTGGAATATTTTCGTTAATTTAGTATCCGCCGTCGCCAGATTTCAGGTTCAGTAATTTTTTTTGCAAAACCTCGTTTGTCAATGGTGTCATCACATCCGTTCCCGTAACATAAATACATCCGGAACGAAATCATTATGTTTAGTCTGAATCAACCTCATGATGATTTGCAGAATACATATATCGGCAGAGGATTGCGGCATTTGATTTTCATATACAATGGACGCTTTATAATCGTGGAAGTGATTTCTGTCTAGGCCCTCCCTCAGATGCACGTACCACTGATTGATTTTTCTCATGAGCTTTTATCGGCAGAAATACCATTAAAAGAATTAATATTATCTGTCGAGCGCCGACCTCAGAGTTCACCTTCCGTATTATTTATCTCTCGGCTGATGGATATATTAAATTCACACACGGAGGCTTAAAGGGGATATATATCCAAGCTGTGTGCTTCAATGTTGGTGGAAGTGAAAGAAGAGAAACAGGCACGGATCTGTTTAAATCGAGAGGATTAGAAGTGTATTCTGAAAAATTGTATTTTGGTTAAGTGGTTAAGTGGTTATGAGACAAACAGCACTTGGCCTAGTATCAGAATATGATTCTCGTCTGATCTGCTGGATTTTAGTCGCCTTACCGCCGGTAAACTCTTGAATCCCTAAATCGCAGGGAAGGCTTAGTTCCCTTTGACAGGCATTCATTAATTCGGTCAAATTCTGTATAGGAACTGATGCGAGTCAGTTAAATCATCTCCGAAGAATGGCCTTCGAATCGAACTACAGTGTAACAAATTAATTTCCATATAAACATCATTAGTTTACTTTTTCTACGTAAATTTTAATTTTTAAAATAAAATCTTAAATAAATAACGTCCCAGCAATTCGTTTCCTTGCAGCCTGGTGTACTCGTATACTATATATGTATGTGTACATAATTATATTATCGAAATACACACCCTCCATTCAGCCCACTTTTCATCAGACCAACAACATTTCAGCAAGTCGTCTTTGTTTATTTGCTCATCGAGTGTATATTTCCAAATTTTCCCAATAAAATGATTATAAAATAAGTGAATCACCCACAGCACAGTGATGGTCAGGCACCCAGTTGACTGGCCAGAATGCGTTATGTATGCTCAAATACAATTACTCATGCAATGGATAAATAGTACGCAAACACGCAGCACTGGATAAAGTTGATTTAAATAATTAACTTGTAGGGAAATTGGACAGCTGACTTTCGATCGATTTCGTATGTATAAAAATATCACAACAGTTGATTAAAATATATTATTCACGTCGAAGGGCAGCTATTTTGAGAAATTCTGACCTCTTTGTGAATATCCACATGTTTCCTTTGACATTTTCATAGAATATTCAAATTGTTTGCTGTTCACACAGGCACACAATTAGTTAATTGAGCGAATTTGAGCAGTGAAATGTGTAAAAATCATTTTAACATGAAAGCTTTACCTCGAAAGCTGAGTTTCAGTAAGAGCCTGGTTGTTGAGGCTAATAATGTCAATATCAGCAGCTATAAACTCTTATAGAAGATTGTACCTTCGCTATTCAGCTCTGCTGCTAGTATAATTTTCTCCAGCAATAAATTAAAAAAGTAGCACGATAATGAATCACCTTGCCTGAAACCTCGTTTCTCATCGAACGGCTCGGAGAAGTCCTTCACGATCCTGACAGGGGTTTTAGTGTTGCTTAACGCCAGTTTACATAACTGCTTAAGATTGGCGGGGATATAGGTGTAGAGGTAGTTCCTTTTCGAGCTTTCGATAGCTGCTTTAAAATCGGCTAGGATTTGGTATGTGTCGATCCTCTTTACGCGAGTCATTTCAAAGTTTTGGGGCATGGTGAATATCTAGTTTGTGGTTGATTAATCAGATCTAAATCCACACTGATTAGGTCCAATAACTTTGTTGTAGTTTCACAAAAAATGCTTGATGAGGTCTTACATATAAACATATATGCGATATTAAGGAGATTTGTACCATACTAATTGGCACAAACTCTGGGATCGCACTTTTCGTGAATTGGGCAGTGCTCACTTAGGTACCACCCCTCAGGCACGCTATCATCCAACTATATAATATTTTGCTTAAAAGCTGACGCATGTACTTTTTCAGTTCTTCACCGTTGTGTTCGAATAGCTCGGCCGGTATTCCATCGCCTCTCGCATTTTTGTTGGTTTTCAAGCAGCCAATTGATATTCGAACATCTTCATAGTCCAGCAATGAAATATTTGAAAGGACTTTTTACTCTTAAAACTCCCAACTTGAAGTCGAGAGACCAATAGCCATTAAAAAAATAGCTCTTGACCTACTAAACAGTCTGATAGAATGTTTGACTTCTCCAAAAACACTCTTCAAGACTAAAATAAAATATTTAAGATTATATTTAAACTAATCTTTGTTGAGGAATTTGTAATTACTTTCAAATTACTTGCCTACATATGGAAACCGCAAACTTGCTTCTGATCATATATATAATTCGTAACGTTTTGTAACCACTATTTTCGACCAAGCTCCTCTTCCAATTTGCGTGGTATGCATCTTGATGTTTTTCAACAAATTGAGGGATCTACAGTTTATATTAAGCCACCTCCGAGCGGCTAATGGTTTTTTATAAGCTCTTGATTTTCATGGCAGAAATACACTCGAAAGGGTTAACATTCGCTGCCGTGGGGCGACCGCAATAATTTCATTTTAATTAATTTTCTATAACTTTTGGACGTTCGTCATACGAGCGATTTAAACCCTGGTCTTCCGAATCGTAGTACGCAATGCTTACCGCTCGGCCACCGAAGCCGCCAGCCAATAGCTGATTACTCAGAACAAAATATGAATATAAATATTTTTTGCCAGCAGCACTCACTTGTATTAAATCAAGCTGATTGTTTCACAATTATCATTCAGAATTTTCAAAATAAACACTTGAACTACAAATTTCTGTTAATATTTTGGCCGATAAAACAAATATTCAGAGCGGCTAACTTCAAGAAACAAACACAGGGTAACACTTATTTCTCATTTAAAAGTATAAGAGACGTGTTAACTGAGTAAAATTAAAAAAATGTCAAATACCAATTCAAAAATAAGATTTTCTACTGAAATTGGCCTTGAGAGACTTACCCACTTAGTTTATCCAACCGTATTATACCATCTTTGTAGTGCTAAAAATTTTCCGCACAGGGCATTCAAGATTAATTTAATTTACGACGAAGTCAAGGTAATCTCAGGTATTTTACAAAATAACATTCACTACATATGTTCGTATTGTAATATAAATGTATGTATGTATGTATATATATTGCTCCAGCGTCTCTGGTAATTTACAACGCGATACTTCTGAAGAAATGTCTGTTGTCGTAGATTTACTGTAATGTTTATAGGGCAATTGATTAATGCCATTATATAAATATACAAACAATTATATATATATTATGTGTAATTGAATTTTGAATACTGTATCGAAAATATATGTATGTACGTGTTTACATGTTCATAATGAAGTGTTTTCTTTATTTTTCTTCTGTAATCTTTGCAACTGCTTATGGACGAATATTGTAAACTTTCACAAGGCTCCCAGCTCAACCATGTATCGTCGATTGATATGATCAGTCGAAGGCTAAATAAATACTCTGAAATTGATTTAAGTACTTCTTATGTGTCATATTAACATGTTTATTATTTATGCATCACTAATGACCTCTTTTAAACTCGTGCCGATTGTCGCTGGTGGTCAATAAAATTTGTGTGAAAATTAATAGCTCCGTAAATTTATTAAGTTTGTCTTTCAAAAGTGGTTATTAGTTAATTTTTCCACTTTTTTTTTTGTTTTTCACCATAGTTTTTGCTACAGATTTGCGTTAACATTTGCTTGTGGCACGGTACATATGTACTCATTGAAGAGCTGACGAGAACTACTTAGAAGAAGCTACGAATATCTGTAAAGGTAATACAATTTTTGGCCATTGAAGCCGGCAAAAACAATTTCCCCTTACCATGCAGAGAGCTAGAAGTCACTTCTATAATTCCTGGGGAAATTTAACCAATGGAACTTTCAAGAACTTTGATTTTGACTCATGTCCAAAGTGATTTTCCATTTCCGGTAAGAATTCATCTCTGAATACCAACATGCACTACATTTCATGAAGCCGCTCCAGCAATTTGCCAAAGAATAAATACAATATTTTGTGTATAACATATTTTCTTAAAGATATAAGTTTTGCACTAAATATTTTGAAAAAGATTTTCCACAATCTGTCTTCTAGTTGGAATTGATTCCAAACCATATATTGACAGTCCAATTATTTAATAAATCATTAATTTACTTGCGGTTGTCTGTAGTTCGCACCCAATCGCTTATTTCATTTCACATGTAAGAAGAGATAAATAAAGTAAAAGCAAATTTGTTAATTTTTCACGAGAACTGATTTTCCGGCCTTTCCTTTTATAAAGAATCGATTCTCCGGCATTTCCTTCCTTCAACTTTTTAGTTTCCGGCGGCTCTAAATCAGCATTCTTCGGCTTTTCATTCCTTTTATTTTTTCAATTTCTTAGTTTCCGGCGGCATTTAAATTCCAAATAACAAATAGTTTTGTAGCCATTGCATTTGAACATATAATACATTTCCTCAACTCTAACAACATTTAATCTTAGAAAATAAAAATAAAAACAGAACCAAATTTATTTATTTTACAAGAAAATATGCTACTGCATTTCCTTCCTTTTCTATTCTTTAAATTTCCTGTTTACCAACCACTTAAATTCTTTAAATTCATTTCATGCAACAAACAGTTTTGGAATCAACACTTGGCTGTCAAACTGTACGCTTATAACAGCTGTATTTGTTGCGATGCCACTGAGTTTGCATGCAAAGAGCTAAAAGCTGTGTAATTCTTACAGAAAATTAATAATAAACCAGCGCAGTTGTAAATAAGCGATTATTTAATGGGAAATATAATTATTTTCCATGAAATTATATGTTTCTTCAGACTCCTAATATAGTTTTCTTTACAGAAAAATCAAACTAAAAATTCTAACTAGTTTTATAAACCAATAAAAAAAAAATAAAAAAAAAATTATTAATGCTCTAGTATGGCAACATAAAGTTTCCCTTTCATCAGTGTTTTCTTGGCCACATTTGAAGAGCATATTTTAGCAAATTGTTATTACAAGTTTTTTTTTTTATATTTCATCAGTGATTCGTGTAAATATTTAGCTGTAGAGAATGCATTTTCCGTATATGAAAATTGCCATCTACGTGCTGACATTTCTCACCTATGCCTACTCCGGCTATGGCTCCAGCACATTGGTACATTTACGAGACGCTATCATAGCAGCGGAAGCAATATTTGGTGATGTATTCAAGAATTTGGTGACTGTTGTAAGGAAGTTTCGTACAGTGCATGAAGTATTCGACGCAGCAGTGGAGGAGAATTGTATTTATCAATGTCTTGGACCGGATGGCAAACCAATAGGTCAGTACTAAAGTGTTTCAACAACCGGCGTGCATACGATAATTGGAATTACGTAAAAATACAAGTTTTTTTGATGCATGACAAGTAATTGTTGGTCATATTTAAAAGGTACTAAACTGCAGAGGACTCATAATGACACTCTGCAGTGCGTGAGATTATTAAAACAAAATAAATTATATTTGTTTTGATTACGATTTAATGCGCATAGAACAGCTGTTTATAAAAAGCTTGCTGCTGGAGATTTCCAGTAGTTGGAAAAACAGTGTTGTAAAGCAATGCGACTATATTTGATGCATTTTAGTATAAACTAAACGACGTACCACTTTCGTACCATCGTTACGTACATTTCTGTTGCAGAATTTAGAGGTACACGTGTACCAATCCAATAATGGCAACTCACCTTTGCGCCTGACCAAGCATTAATATGTGTACCTGAGCAAATGTTAAGTGAAGTAAAATTGAGCTTTCATGAATGAAATATCACTTTACTTCAAGAGTTTTCCAACAGATGGCGCCGTGTGTTGGAAAATTTATTGTTAAATTTAAATTATATATTTAATGTATTTTCTCAAAATAAAGTATTAACCATTTTCTTTTGGTTACAGATGTACGACCCGTCCAGAATAAGCTGTATACACCAACCGCCGATGGCTGTGGCTCACTTGGACTGCGCATCAACACCGAATATTTGCCTGCCGTCGAAATGGAACATTGCTGCAATGAGCACGACATTTGCTATGACACTTGCAACAGTAATAAAGATTTATGTGATTTAGATTTTAAACGTTGTCTTTACAAATATTGTGACACCATTGACAAATCCATTGGTACTGAATATCTTATTACGGGTTGTAAAGCTGCTGCGAAAGTGCTCTTCACAGGCACTTTAACGTTGGGCTGTAAATCGTATTTGGATTCACAGAAACGTACGTGTTATTGTGCGCCGCCTAAACAGTCCAAAGAAGAAAATCGTGGGTATAACGGTTATAAAAATGGTAATGGTGATAAATACTATAAACAGGGGAAAAAACAAAAATACGGTTGGAAGGATGCGGGTGATATGTAGTGAGGATATTCACATGGGAAATTGTATTTAGCGATTTTTTTTGTTAATTGTCTTAAAGCACAGTCATTTATATTAAATACAATGTTTGTATGTAACAAATGTATGCACATGTGTGTACAATTTTAACAGCAATATTATATACAAGTATTTTGGATGTTTAGAATTTATATGTATAGAGAGAGAGACATCCCTAGCCAAAGCAGTTTTCTAGAAATTTAAGATTTTTATGTATATGTATATATTTTATTGATAGAATGCTACATACTAACATGAAACATGTATTTACGCACACGACTGTATTAACAGCTCAAACCAACGAACTTGACCAAAGTAAGATTAAAATCCAAATTAAACTAAAAAAATTGTTTTTTTTTTTTAATGTAAACTGAATAATTTACTTTTTATCATCTTATATAGTACAGTTAAAAATGGTACTTGTGCCGAAATCTGGGAAACTCACCACCAAAGCGAAGTTATGTTATTTAACAAGTCTCCTTCCTTCAGTAGTGAAAACACCAGGGAATTTGCTAAGGGATCTGTACTTTGCACAACCCCCTTTGCCACATTCAATCACGCAGTCCAGGGAGTTAGGAGTTCAGGAACTCGCTCGCGGTTAGATAGGAGTGATGTAAGGAGCTATTAAAATCCAATAGGCACCGTGACAAGGACTGCCATTCCCGCAACAAAAACCAATTTCAAGAATATTTATGCGACTACAACAACAACAGCAATCACCAAGATTGAAAAGGTAGGAGGTGAACTACCAGAGTCGTCCACAATTGCCAGTTAATTGAAGTAGATCATATATCGAGAATCAGGAAAATTAAGGAAAGGGATCTGCGGGACGATTCACAAAGACTACAATGACGTTAAGAATAAATAATAAATAAATCCTAAATCACCATTAAGCTTAACTGACATTCTGTTCGCTTTAGATTGAACCCGTTGAAACCGTCCACTTTCTAGACAGTTCGGAAGAAGGTTCCGATGATATAATCGCATCTTTCAAGAGGTGAAACTGTAAAACAACCCCATAAGGTAGGGTGTCATGGTCTCCAGGACCATCGAAGTTAGAAGCTCTATCGAAATCGAATATTTTAATGTAATTTATTGATCATCGACGATCTGAAGTCAATAGGTAATCAAGGAAAAAGCGGACCAACGAACTGGTAAAAATGCAGCCGCTGGATGTGGCGACATTAAACGGCCCCACACTTCTTCAGCAACCGCGGCGGTGAAGCAGAAAGGACCCAGAAGCTGCTACAACAACATTACCACGGGACACTCTTTCAAAACCCATTGTGCTTCCAAGACCTTCTTGATCTAAGAAAGCTTCCGCCAACTAAACCGCTTGGTTAGAAGTTTAAACCGTTTCAACAGACTCACAAGACTCTAAACGAGCTTAGCGTCTAGCACCAATACTATGCAATCTACTTTCATACAACCCTACGATTCCAAAACCCAAAAGCAAACGTCAGAGGAAGCACGCAACACGCGCAGCTCCAAAGGTTTTGTAGAGGCAAAAAGTCTCTTCCTCTGGAAAGAAATGGAAAACTGTAAGTTGAGTCAAAGGAGAACCGTCTCACCAGGAATATAAGATAAAAACGGCATTTTGGCATTTTGCTGGTACAATATTCTAAACGGGTTAAGAGCCAAGCTCCAATCCTGCGCGAACCCAAGCAAGCGAATCAGATATGCCGCACTGCTATTCGTCATCCCCGCCACATAACCAATGAAGCAGGCAGAAGAATCGCCACAAATGGTCTAAGGGTCATCTCGATGACAGTGATAAGCGGACCTACTATGAAGCGGGCAGAAGAATCGCCACAAATGGTCTAAAGGCGACTTTGACACCAGTAATAAGTGTCGAAGTGAACAGCCTCAAATGGTCCATTGGTCATCTCGATGACAGTGATAAACGGACCTCTGTAGTTTTTTAAAGGTCAATCATTTCCATGCCAGTGTTCAGCGGACTTCCGTGGAAAGCCGTTTGGTCCAGTCAGAGAGCTATTTCCTTTAGTATTAATAAAAAATAATATAATAATAAATAAAGTTTTATTAACTCCAAAAAACAACAACAAAGGTATATTTTAACCAACTACTTAAGCTTAACTTAAACTATATTAAATTGAATAAAGCAACCAAACAAAAATAATGAATTTTGTACTTCTGCAACGAAGCTTACGACGAGCCTCACATTAGCTCCCTCATGCCACCTGCGCCTAGCCAAAGAAACCGCCACCACCGCCACCACTTGCCGATGCACTGGCCACACCACCGCCACTACTGCTCGCGAACGCCGTACCTGCAAGAGTTCAAATAAAGAAACAGGTCCAAAACACTGTATAAATCAACTTTGGTAATTATACATAATACACAAACTACAAGATCTCCACACTCAAGCGCCAACACGTATATACTCACTCATGCCATTGCCGTAAAATGGATAACCTCCATAGCTGGGAAAACCACCGAGACAATAGTAGCTGCCATAACACGGATACGTATTGCCATAACCGCTACCATAGTAGGGGGAATATTGCGGATAGCCACCATAGCCGGGGTAGCCACCATAACCAGCACTGCCGCCGCCAAATCCATAACCTCCTCCCAAGCCAGAACCACCGTAACCGCCACCAAAACCGCCGGCGTAACCACCATAACCAATGCCGGGATAGTAACCGAATTGCGCGTGTGCGTTATGTATGCACGTTACAGTGAGCAGCAGCAGCAATAAGAGCAGCAGATGTGTAAGGCGAGCAGAATCGGCAATGCGTGTGTTGTGCATAATGTTTTTGTTTGAGCGTAAAAGGAAATTTATTAAAAAAAAAAAATTTTTTTCACGGAATTTTATTTTTTTAACTGGATCACTGAAGACGGAGTTTGGGTGTCTTTTTTTTTATTTAAATTTTTTTTGTTTAAATTTTTTGAAATTTTTTACGCGTTACCGTTAGTTGGTTGTTTTCGTTACCACACAATTTCGCAACTGAGACAATAATTGTTGCGTTTTTAATTTTTATAACGAGGAACAATGAAAAATCGCTAAACATTTTAGAAAAATCCCATAACATTAAATATCAATTAAGTTTTTTTTTTAATTTTTGTTAATATTATTTGGTTTTTTTTATCATTTTATTGACATTGAATAGTCTATTTATATATCTAAGCACATATTTATGTATATTTTTTTTTCAATTTTCATCAATTTTATTTAATATTTTTTTATTGCTCTTATTTTTTTTATTTTTGCTTTTAATTTTTTTTTTTTTTTTTTTTGTTTTTTTTTTTATTTTTTTATTTTTTACTTCCACTCACAGAGTTACCTCTAGTCTAACTTCACCTTTGCTGTTATTTGTTGTTGTAAAAATTTTAATTTTATATATTTTTCCATTTTCCAAAGTACTTCATCAAAAAATATTGAACTAATTACCGTTAAACATTTTTTTTATCAAACTGTTTGGGTCAACGAATTTTTTCACACTCCACTCAGCTCAACTCAATGCCTACGCCGGCTGCGCTTCATGGGCAGTATCAGATCTGATTTGTATTATATTGATTACCCAATAGACAGCCAATAGACAGCCGTGAATGTTATAATTTATGAAAGATTTGTAAAAAATAATAAACTCTTTGATTTCATTGATATCTTGATTCCGTACCGATTTAACCGCTCATTGAACGTGGCGAGTTATTGATTACAGCAAAACTAATAGAATCATTAGATTATTACTTGATCTGTGTGTGCGTCAACTTACAGAGAACTTACAAGGAGCCCTTGTGTCATTTATTTGGCGCAGACTCTTCGTTTGCGCTGCGTGGCTCCGATTGAAGACGTCAAGTGAATCCCAGTTCCTACCAAAGCGAACTTTCCTCTTCACTTGCTTCAAAAAACTAACGTAACAACGTTTAATTTCAGTTCCATTTCATTACCTTGATCCAGTAAAGAGTAAGCCATTATTTCTGCAATAGTTGGCTTTAGTCATCTGTAACTCACGTTCCAGAAGTGCGATTGGACTACGCTGGATGGCGTTATAAAGCTGATATTTTGGACAAAACAAGACTATGGGGGAAGTGTGGAAGACCAAGCGCTGAAAATGTCGAAGAAATAATGGAAACCGTAGAGTCTGATCATCAGTCACGAACTGTGCCGTTTGCTTAGAAGCCAAACATTGTAGACAAAGAACGAACAAAAACAAAAAAAACTGTTTGGAATCACTTAAAAAAGGCTGGTTACATAAAGAAGAATTATTCTCAAGCACCGAATTTCCAACAGCGTGTCGCTACTTAATCTTAGCATAAACGATCCATCTCTGAAACTAATGCTGCGTGGTAATGAAAAATGAATCCACTTCTTCTTAATTGGCGTTGGCACCGCTTACTCGATTATAGCCATTTCTCTCTTCTTTTCGCTATTTTGCGCCGGTTGGAAATACCAAGTGAAATCAGGTCGCTCCACTTGAGCAGTCCAACAAAGTGCAGGTTCTCCTCTTCCTCTGCTTCCACCGGCGCATACTGCTTTGAATATTCTCAAAGCTTTAGTGCTTTCATCCATTCGGACGACATGAACTAGGACAATATCATTGTATAGCTCGTACAGTTCATCGTTCCATCGTCTGCGGTTTTCGCCGTTGCCAATGTGCAAAGAACCATAAATCGTTCGCAAAACTTTTCTCTCGAACACTTCCGAGGCGACTCATTAGATGTAGACATCGTTCACGCTTCTGCGACATATAACAGATGCAGGAGTGATGAAGTTTTGATTCATCGGGAGAGGACTCTACTTTTCAATCGCCTACTCAGCCCGAAGACTGTTTGTTTGATGACCGGAGATGAGGTTTTGATTCATCGGGAGAGGACTTTACTTTTCAATTGCCGAAGACTGTTTATTTGATGACCGGAGATATTGCGTCTTGCAACCGTTCACTAACAAACCCATGCCCTTCGCTTATTTATCAAGTCCGGAGAAAGCAGAACTCAAGACGCGGTTGTTGTGGCCAATGAGTTTTCAATATCATCACTTTTATAGAATAGTGTACCTTTCCTATTCAGCTCTGCTGCTACTATTATTTTCTCCAGCAGTAAGTAATCTCGTTTGGTATCGAATAGCTCGGAGAGGTCCTTACTGGTCCTGACGCAGCTTTTACTGTCAGTTTACATAGCCGTATAAGTTTTGCTGGCATACCAAATTCAAACATAGCGGCGTAGAAGCCTGCTTTCAAATCGTCGAAGAGGTGGTGGGTGTCTGTACTCTTTCCGCGGCTCTTTCCCCAAGACTTGGATCCCTTACAGTAAAATCAAATTGGTACGATCGAGGTCTAAAAGGAATGAAACGGCACTCTGTGGCCTCTGGGTGGGCATAGTTTGAGAACTGAGAACTGCGAAAAACTTTCCTTAGTCTACTACCATCTTACTTTCCGTCAATGTTCCGACTGACGATTTTCCAAGAAAAAGAAGAAGAAGTTTTCTTTGCAGCCTTCTTTGAAGCAACCTTCGTAAGATTTGCTAGGAGCTTCGTTAAAGAGTTTTGTGCTAATTTTTCAAAGCTCAGATATTTTTTTCTTCACCCCTTTGGGGTCTTTTCCCCACTTTTGTGATATAGAGAGCATGAGGCCTTATAAGCCGCGTTTATCGATTTTCAGCGATGAGTTAAGTTCACCGAGAGAAACAGGCCTATGTGTTAGATTAAAGAGACCCTTAACTATATTTATACTGTGTGATTAAGTCTAGCGATTTGAGGTTTAAATTTAAGAGGCACTTTGACCCTCGATTTGAATGTGGATTCTTGTATAGTGCTGTAACGAAACACTTAAATTTGTCTATATAATTATAATGTAAATCTTTATAAACATACATATATATAAATAAAATATTTTCCAAGTTCATCATCACCGTCATTATACCAATACACGTATTTGTAACCGTTAGAGTTCATGGGAAAACCCATCAAACCAATAAAGTGATATCATTAGGTACATTTACCGACTCAATGACAGTAATAGAGAATACTAATCTCATTGTTGTTGGGTCATATACTCAGTTCAAATATTCTATGGGTGTCTTACCCACTCCAACGCGTGGTGGTTTGCTGTTGCACTTGCTGAGGTTACCGTTGTCTCATCACAGCGTAGCCAGTGGTGATTTTGGTGGCTGTCATTGAATTCGTTGTACCTTGATAGTTACACAAATACATCTATGTATATATATATATGTATGTATGTGTGTATGCGTGCATGTGTGTACGAATGTATTTTGTATTTGCAGTAGGCCACAATCATAAATTTGTTATTGCTTTCTATTAAAATTATGGCTGCATGCTGATTTACTGACTACCCACAAGAACAACAACAATTCTAGTGGTGGACAAACAAATAGTGAATGAGGTGCAATTGACTTTCAGGTAGATGTGTATGTACATATATGAGCTTAAATTTGTCTAAACAATGATTGAGGTCAAATAGTAAGGGAAAATTCGAAATAAATATTAAATAATAAATGAATATGTATATATGGGTGTACTTTATATGTACTATATATGTATAAGTATTATTTACTATTGAATATATGGTTTTTCATGTACATAGAATGTATTAGGGTGAGTCGATCATTTACGCGTTTTGTTGTAGAAATTTTTTGGAAAATGGCGCCACAGGCCAATGAGAAAGCCGGCTATGGTAGCCCGAGTTGGAGCTGTCGGGCAAAACTAATTCGCTAATACTAATTGTAAGAGACCCCTTCGAGACATTAGGGACGAAGCGAGACTGGGTGACTGGGTGACTGGCTACTTTCGCTCACCGAAAAAAATGTTTGCTGTCGCCGACCTCGAAGTCGCTTATCATTTCTGTCCGGCACAACGTTGACGACACTCGGTAAGTTGGCATTAAAAGTTACGAGAGAAAGATTTTTCGAAAGTCAAATCCTGGCACATACCACAGATGATGGAAAATGAGTTTTACTGAATGTTAGATGCAAAAGAAGAGTTCGAAAGCATCAAGTAGGTCAGGCTTGACTTCACTTAAGGATCTCCAATTACACCGAACGGTGTACAGAAGGAAGTACTGACGCGCTATCACTGATTCGGCTATAACCACAACAACGTTGGCGTAGGTCCCCCGCCAATAAAGAATATGAATGAAGCATCCAATGGGTAGAGATCATTAAGACGAAAACCAAAGGATGATAAGCGGCAGGTAGAACAAACTTTCTATTCTCAAAGATTAAATTATGAACAAGGAAGAAGCTATCGCCAAATGATGTTTTGCAAATCCAATGAACACCCACATCCAAAATGAGATTGACAACAAACTGATCGTAGATGTAGGTCATATTTGTGCCAAATCTGTTTATTTCTGCAAGTTTCAGGAAAGAGCAGTTTTCTACTGGTAGGTATGTATGTGCTGAACTCCGCGTCGGGTTCATCAAGCTATGTTCCCGACTTGGTAGAGGAGAAAAGTTTTTCGTTACCGTAATGCTATGGCCGTGAAATCAGTTTAAGGTAATGTCGAGTTGAACTATCAGCGAACTTAGATCCTTTCTTCATTTATTTTATTAACGACGCTTGAATTTATGGAGGCGATGAGAAGGACCTGATTGCCTTCTTGCTATACGAGTTTATTTATTCTCTCCCATAAATATTTTCAACAGTTCTACAGAACTTTTCTTGAAAGATCTATGTGTGCTAAACGAAAAGTGTTAGAGATTCTAACGTCTTCGGACAACAGCTCATCTCCTACATCATAGTCAGTTTTGGAACTATCGAACTCATTTTCTTCTTGCTTAAGATAGCACCGGTTTGGGCTGCTACTGTTGCTGTTCTAGTTGAACAAGTGCCTCAAGAGTCTCACCAGCATAAGTTTCCCAAGCACCCAAGTACCAGTACCAGCAGTACCTCCCGCAGTAATTATCTATTCTCTGTGATTCTTATCAGCCATTGTGTCGCCGTGGAAGTGCCCTTCCCGTAGGTCGAGGTCTCTTTGGTCGAGACCACTGCATTCGTATTCAATATTTCATCAGGCATCAGAAGGCCTCATTCGGGATCAGCAATTCAAAATCCGCTAAATGACTATACAACCATCAGTACGGGTGCGTCGACACACTGATGAAAATCCAGGTCCTTCCGGTATAACG